AAGTGGGGGATAAATAACATCATTTCTCCCTCTCTCTCTCTCTCTCGCTCTTCAATGTATATAAAGAAAGGTATGCTACAATGACTCTTTTAAGGGGTAGGTTTATGTTTTGTAAATTGCATTCTGATTGAAAAAGACTTTTACACCTGCTGTGTGTGTTGTGTTATGCCACCAATTAATATTCAGCCAATTAGCAGCAAAAACAATGTGTGGGTTACTTTAAGTGTTTTAAAATGCTGCAAACGTCTTCAAAATGTGCCATATTCTATTTAATTTGTTGCCAAAGTGTGGTTCACCCCCTATAAAAACCAATAAAAGAATAAAGCACTAGGCTCAGTCCATATATTCAAGTTATACAATACCACATGGTCTTACTTTATAAAGTGAGGTATCTAAACGCACCATATTGGGTTAAACAGAACCCCTAAATGAAAGGATTTCTATTAGATTTTAAACGGATATCGTTTCAATCATGATCGCTATGTTGCATTTTCTGGTGCTTATACATTGTGCGCATGTAATATATGGTAGTGGGCAATATTTCTCCACTACATCATCCCGTCGCCGCTCGCTGCTGTTATGAGAAAGATGGTGACACAGCAATGAAAGAGTCATTTTCTCCACCTCAGCCTCTCCTCAGCATCTAACCGCTCCTTTTGTTTTCTCACTCCCTCAGTACTTTGAAGAAATCCTATCCAGACCCCCTGAATATAACACACGCACGGTTGGCTTTGGCCCTACAAAGGTGACGATGCACCCGTAAGCGCGTGGATGGAGCCATTATTATTACCGACAAGTTACTCACCTCCCACAATGGCGAGGAGAGCCAGCAGCAGCAGCGGCGGCCGCCAGCCGTCCATCGTCTTCTTACGTGCGTCCGAGCGCGCTCCGAGCCCGAAAGGTGTTCACCGCGGATGGAGAGGCCAACCCCAAACACACCCGCAGTGTTACACCCCCCTCCTTCCTCACGACCCGAACCTGTCACTTTTCAGTCTCTACCTGGCATGGTGACGTCGGGGCTCTCCGTCGTGTCCACACTTTCTTCTGCCCGTGAAGGAGGGGAGGAATGGAGATATGTCGGCGGGGCCAGGTGAGCTCTGCGCTGGGTTGTGCGGTGCTGGCTGTCCGTGCTGAACACCGCTCAGCGATGCGACGCGCTGGAGAGGCGGGGGCGGGGCGGGAGGGTGTTTGGGGGGAGGGAGGGGGAGAGGAGGCGGGAGAGGGGAGGATGTGGCACATACCTCAGAGGCTCCACGCAGCTCGGCTAACGATGCCGGCGTCTTCCCCGCACAAAGTCACTCATCGCCATATAATATTCAGCCCGTATTTTGTGGCGCTAATAGTGACCTTAGAGCGACCTTGTCAAACTTGATGCCATCTCTCCTCTCCATCTGCTTTATCTTTAATATTAGCCTCAGGCCAAATAGTTGTGGCAGCAGTGGCATTTCATATCATCTGAAATGTATTTTTCATCAGGCAGCCATAAGGAAAATAAAACGTGATGACATGTGCACCCGGGCACCTTTCCATCATTCAAACTAATTTACTGAGAAAATAAGAGAAAAAGATAGAATCAAACAATCAGGATTTGGACATATTGTAGCTTTTACCTATCTGCCACCCATCACATCTTTGACTATTAATATAACCTCACATCACCTTTCTCTCCAGGACTGTCTGAGCCTAATGTAGACATTATTCTGTGAATAATCTTCACCCTCTAAAAGCTGGAGAGGTATGTCTTGCCTTTTCCTATGTGCTCTCTTCTTCCTATTTTTCCTTTCCTGTCACTTATCCTTCATAAAAATTTTGTTTCTTCCCCTCCAGGCCACTGAAGTAACCTCTAATCCCCATCCACAAAGTCAAACAGGCAGGAGCCAGACAGGAAGATGGGGAGGGAAGAAAGAGCATGCCAGGTAGTGGAGGGGGGGAGGAGGAGTTAAGAGGGAAGTGTAACTAGGTAGAATTAAATTGGGCTGAATATATAGAGGGTTTCCACTCGTTCTGCAACATGCTTACTGCGAGTCGAGTGCCTGATGACAAGAGAAATGTAACAACTGATTTGGATGATGAGGGGCGGAGGGAATGCAGCAAAAATAAAGAGGGGTACAGGACTCAAAATGCAAAAAGGGAGGGAGGAGAGGGAGTCAAAAGAGCGTGGGAGGCGGGGAGGGATGGATGGGGGAAGAGTAAACTAAGTAAACAGGAGTGCGGGATGGAGGGAGGAGGTGGTTGCCGTGGTGACTAAGAGAAACCAGAAAGCTCCAGGAGGAAGCGACCTGTTTCTCCTTCATTTTGTCTATTTTCATCGCCGACACACACAAAAAGAATACACATGCGCAGCTGGCACACAGAACACACTCATGCATAAATGCACACAATGCATAAACACACAAATGTACGTATGCATGCACACACAGGCAAATTCTTCCACTGTAATGTCTTCCTCTCTCATGCTATCTTTATGCACTCCTCCTCTCTCCTCCTCGCTGTACAGTCCTTTCTACCTCTCCTCTGCAGTGAATGAGCTGACCTGACAGTGCTCCTCCTCTGCACTGAGTGCTGTGAGTCTCTCTCTGAATTATTTAAAAGCTGGGACCCCCACAAGTGCTTGTCTTCCCCTCACACCCCCTCACGCTCTCTCTCTCTCTCTCTCTCTCTCTCTCTCTCTCTCTCTCTCTCTCTCCTTCCCTTTCTCCCTCACTCTTCTTTCCTCTGTCCCTTCCTGTCATTCTGTCTTTTGGTAGCTGCAATTACTTCCTGTGGTTCTGTCATATCATAGGCAACACTTTAATTAACAATATCCAAATCTGGTCTATGAATCACCGTCTGATTGATAGTGTAAGACAAATAATTGATTACTTATAGTGGTGGAATGTGCATTCCAACAAATACGGTACTTAAATACAATTTTGAGGGATTTGTATTGTTACTTTAAACTTCTTTACTACGTTTTGGAGGCAAATGTTGCATATTTCTGTCTTGTAATATTGTTTAGAGAATTAAAGATACTTTCAAGATTAGGATTTTTCATACAAAACAAAATTATCATCTTTGTATTATCTTATAAGATATGATGTAATGTTATAGATTGAACAATCCAATGGTATGAAAAGTACTTAGTTTTGCCTCAACTAGATGCAATATCAAAATGTTGCTTCCATGTTAATAATACTCATTTAATATGATATATAACACAATTCATTTGCCTGCATAAGAAGTGCTTAAATGTCCAGTGTGTAGGGTTAAATGGCATCTAGCAGTTGCAGATTGCAACTCCCTCGTTTCACTCTCCCCTTCCAAGCATGAAGGAGAAGCTACGAAAAGTACAAACTGTTCTATCAAGAGCCAGTGTTTGATTTGTCCGTTCTGGGCGACTATAGAAACATGGTGGTCCAAGATGGCGACCTTCTTCCACTACCGATACTTTATAAACTCATATCCAGAGTGCAGCTGATAGAAATTATGCATATCATCACTGTCCTGTGAAAACCACGTTTCTCCAAAATGCCTTGAGCTATGAAAAACGGCCATTTTCAGTTATGTGACGATGCAGTTTTCAGATACTCCAGTGGGTTTTTTAACTGTTTATTTAGCTTAAGAAGTAGAATCATTTCCTCAGCCCATAAAGAAACAGCGATGATATATGAAAGAGCAAGAAAACTCAAACAAGCATTGAAGATTGTAGATTTGACGGTTACTGATTGCAACATTCCCAAAAACAGACTGACAACTACTGCAAGAATCATGTGTCCAGCACCCCGGGCCTCTTGTTTGTTTTGACCTACTTTGTGATTTAATTAAGAGAACATAGAGGACTTACCAAAACAGATCACACGGATGGAGGGAGGGGTGATAGTTAGTGGTGTCTGTTGTTGTGTAACATTGCCCATTTGTGACACGCTGGGTAGCACGATGGCCAAGATTAGGGATGGCTCTTCAACCGGAAAGGCCTGGGTTCAAGAAGCATCTGCCTCGCTGAAGAGTCTTTGAGCAAGACTCGTTCTGGAGTTGACCGTGCTGCACTCTGCTGACTTATTGAGGAGGTGACACACCGTCAGTTAAGCGCTACAGTTTCTGCTTCGTAAGCTGACAGTAAGGAGGAGTGAATCACTTTTTACTCACTAATTTCTGGCACTGCTCTGACATTACATGTTGCTGCTCTCCATTCACAAACCATGCAGGCTCTTCTGTGGTGGAGCTACATTGCTACTATGGCACTATGGCCACGGTTATTCATAGCTCTTTTTATATTGCTGCCTGTCTCTCCTCCCTCTTTGTCTCCCTCTCTCCTCCCTCTCTTCATTCCCCTGTAGAAATGGCCCTACCTCACTCTAACTAATCACCATGGCAACCTGGTAATCCCTGAACAGGAAAATTCTGACTCCCGCTCTCTCTATCTCTCTCTCACACACACACACACACACACACACACACACACACACACACACACACACACACATAACAGGACTACATGCACACACACATAAATGCACACATGGGTGCACACATGGGCTTGCGCGTGCACACACACACACACACACACACACATACATACTCTCACAAGTCATGCAAACCAATACACTGGTGTTTACTGGTAAGATATCTTTCTGCAAACACACGCTGCCATGCATCATTGTGAGGATAAAGCCCCTCTGCATTTTGTGAGACGCTTCATTTGTGTGTTGGCGAGGATTTAAATACCTTTTGGGTTGTGTGAGTAAATGCTGTACACTATTTATGTATGTGTGCTGATGTGTGTGCATGTTTGTCTGCATGTGGGCCCCAAATAGGTGAGGGTGTGTGTATGCATGAGGCTGCCTGTGTGTGTAACTGTAATTGATTTCACACTCGGGTCAATGATTTTACAGCTACAAGAGAAAAGCACACAGATTCACTCTGGTTAGTGTCTCATCTCTGTTTCACTGCCTTTTTACTTGAACTGCTTTGACTTTTTTTTTTTACTGTTTGCACATTTAAGTAAACTAGTTTGTCTACAGTTAATATGAATTTTATTTTATTTATTGAATAAACGTCTTACAACAATAATATACAGCCCACATCACTGTGTGGTTGATGCAAAAAAAAAAACTGACAATATACAACAATCACTTAATCATCAAACATTATTTAGGCACAGGTACATTTTTGGGTAAAGGTCAGTTCATTCACAATAAAGTAACATAACCTTTAGATTACAGTGAAGGCACGTGAATGGACATGATACTCACATATTTATTTTCCACACTTACAAACACTCAAACAATTTTGCTGACAGGGCACTGTATTGTTAAAAGACCCCTCCCACTACACTAATTCTAATCATCTAATCAATATAGCTTTTTCTCTTGACAGAGGAGACGCAGATGAGCCTGATTTTCAGGATGGATCAATAGGCTGATTGACATGTTAGATGGATGAATGAATATACTCCAATCAAGTGTATTGATCCCACAGACCACACCTAACTAGATGGCACGGTGCTAATAGAGGATGTCAGCACCTCTGTGTGCGGGCATCCCATGAGGAGATTATAAACCTCTCCACTTTCTTTAAATATCAGATTGGTTATAGTAAGTGCAGTGCTTCATGTGCATTGCTTCAGGTATTACAGAAATCCATTTGGTTTGCATGGTACTGAGTATGGTTTGTGTAGGATCAATGGACAAGACTATGGGGCAAATAACCCAGGCTGTAGAAGAAGTGATGGTACATTCAGTAGGTTGTCTGTTTTGTGGATTTTTAGTTTGGAAACAATGAGTACTATAACAATGTGATAAATGGTTATTGTAATGTATGACTTTGACCACTAGGTTGCGCATTGGAAGAGATACAAACATAAACTTATTAAGGTTGTGCACAGTGACAAATCCAAAGCAGCATGCCTTTGAGTATGTGCGTACACTCATGTATTAACAAGTTAATGTATGTGTCTGTGTGCATTTGTGCATAAATGTGTAATACATGCCTCTGCGCATGTGTATTTATGTCCCAGTGTGTTTGTTTGTCTTTTTTATGCATGTTCAGTGTGGCCTGGGCACAGAATGCTGCAGGGTCATGTGCTCTGCTCCAGTGAAAGGCAGTCTGTGTGTGCAGTAGTGATGCACCAGCTCAGGGATACTGGAGAAGACACAGCTACTCTGATCCAGGGTGAAGCCCAAGCCCTTAACGCTCTTAGTCTGGGCCACAATGATGTGCACACAACTCTGGCTGGTCCTAATGGAACAAGACAGAGCGAAAGACACACAAAACAAAAGGCGTGTTGTCAGATTTGCATGTAAAAGACACACACAGCAACATTTACAGCTAAGAGTTATAAGATGCTGAAGATTGGAAACATTATGCAGATGTATATCTCCCCGAATGAGGCTGTGCATATTCCGAGTTCAGTGGATGGTATAAATGGGGTTAATGATGTGAACTCTCAAATGAATGAGCAGCATACAACAAATGTGCACTCAGGCGCATACACACACACACGCACACACACACACAAGCTTGCACCACAGAATTTCAGCCTTTATCCTAGAGAACCTGTTTCTGGCACGCTTATCAGTAGTGTCTACTCTACAAATTACACACTTTATCATGCATTAACAACTTAAAGGCTGCCACCACGATGCCAGCTCCTTGGTAGGTCCTTAAAAATAGCCAAACATAGGCTCAATCGCTATTGACATGTGGGAATATGAAAGTTTTGTTAAAAGTAATGTTAAAGGGAAAAGCATATTTTATGTTCAAGCACGTCTCCCATAGTCATGCTGTAACTCCAAAAAACGACTGAGATTGTGATGCAGCAAAACAAAAGTAGATAAAAATAGCTCTATAAATAAATATATACATGTTGCATTATATAGCGTGCATGTACCGTATTCAACAAACACACACACACTCAAAGGGAATACACAAACACACATCGGCGCACTCACTTCAGAGCGATGGAGTACTTGCTGGTCCCTGATTCGCTGTCTCTCACCAGGAAGCTGGCTTCCCTGCAGCGCTGCAGCTGAGCCTCAGCCTGCTGCCGACTCACACTGCCATGGTACCAGCTTGGGGAGGTGAGAGAGGGAGGGGAAGGGGGAGGGGGAGGGGAGATGCAAAGAGAGACAGCAGATCACTGACATATAGCGCTGTGACATATGGAGACAAGTCAGATGTCAAGTTAATGATAGGCAATGATGGTGAGAGAGAGGAAAAACAGAAAGAGACTGACGGGAGGAAGGAAACGCATCGACACCAACATAGATTTACTGTCGAAATAAATCAGACAGATATACGTATATTGTGGACTGAATGAGTTAACAATGTCAGAGGTGAACTTGGGAGGGCGAAGAGATAAATAAAATGGACAAACATAATGTATGTGGCTGTGCGAAGTGTCGAGGGAAGGCCCGTTAGGACACAAGGTGGTGCTGACAGTAGCCACAGGTTAGAGCCATATATAAACAGGCTGTATGTGGCCTTGATGCTCGGAGGCAAAACACATTCAGCCACAAAGGCTAACATGCTCTGACCATGTTCCCCTAATGATCCACCTGTAAAGCCATGCTAAAATCAGTCTGTCCTATCTAGTCAAGCCTCACCTCAAGGGTACACTTCCCTCCAGCGTTTATGTTCAGCACCTTATCACAAGAGTGTCTTCAAGGCCTGCCGCTGGCTTATGTTCTCAGTGATAAATGCCAAATTTATCTTAAAAATGTCTAAAGTGCCAAGCATAAAATATATGTGAGTTTTTGGCAAAGAAGACTGGCAGCCTCTGCAGTGCATTTGACATTGTGAGTCACCAGATCAGATGTTGAAGGAAATCTGCTTGATAGCTTTACAACTTTTACTCAGGGAAACTGATTTTGAGCCAAACTGAGGAGGGCGCTGTTCTTCAAGATTTTCTCACAAAAGCCAAATCATTTTCTTTTTAATTTTTTACTGTCATAAGCAAGCAGAGCAATACAGAGAGCAGAAGGGGCCAGGAAGTGACATTCACTCTTCAAACTTTATGAGAAAACTGGTGTTAAATTTGATAAGCACTAATAATACACAGACATGAGATAAAGGCAACCAATCTCTCAACCCTCATCTCATTTATTTAATTCCCTCCAATCCTCTAATCCTGTTCTAGGCTGAGCATGCAGTGTGTAGAGGTAGATCACAAAAGACTAATATATAAACAGAAAAAATAATGCTTTAGATTCACCTGACTTGCATGTCTTTGGACAATGCCAATCCTTATACATATTATTTTCTAGTCGGTAGGGTGTATTGAATCTTGTACAATGTCATATTTTTTAATATATTCAAATATTTTCTTTATACTTATATGTGATTACTACTGACCTGTTTTTCCAACTATTTTATTTTTGACAATTTTTGACATGATTTTCAGTATGATGTAATAAATTCTGTGGATACTTTACTTTTGCCTGATTATGACACTAATGGGGTTGAAATATTGTCTGTTTCAGTCCAATAAAGTCTGGGAGCTATAATTCAGTGTGCTTTCTTATTTTCCCCTTACTATAATGTATCAAACTTTTCCCTCCTCCCTACCACCCTCCTCTGGATCTATTTCATCTCCCTTCTTACCTCTGCTTCTCCAGGGACAGGCTGGGGTCCACGTTGGCTGCCTCCCCATCCAGTGGGGTATTCGGGGACGTAGGAGATGGAGGGGATAGTTTGTTAGGATTAGAAGAGGGTGAGATTGGTGAGAGTTTGAGAGTGGGGAAAGAGGGAGATGGTGGTGTGAGAGGGGAGAGTTTGAGAATAGGAGAGGAGGGAAAGGAGGGAGAAGAAGAGGAGGATGGAGAAGACGGTACAAGTGTTTTATGATTCCAGTTCTTCTGCCTCAGGGTGTGTTGTTGTTGTTGTTGTTGTTGTTGTTGTTGTTGTTGTTGTTGCTGCTGCTGCTGCTGCTGGCGGCCAGAGGTTGAACCGTTCTCTTTACTGGGAGAACAATCCACTGCCTCGAACTGAGCTGAAGGAAGCAGGACAGACAATATCAACCTTTCATAATAAAACTCTATCAAAGCATGCCAGAGCTACCAAAGTAAACACGTCTCTGGAAATTGATTCAGCAGAATTGTTTTGTTTCCTCTCTAAAGCAAACACAAAATTGTTGTGTCATTACTGTACAAATAAAACTCATGGCATCCTTCCTCCACACCCTAAACCCCCACCCTTCCCATCATCCCTCTCTCTCTTTCTCTACCTGACAGTGCTCTGACAATGTCCTCCTTTCTCCACTCCCAGGGCAGTTCGTACTCTCCAGCGGGACGGACATCAGACTCTGGCCGTGTGACAGGTATCCACACGCCCTCACGGTCGCCTTCCAGCCCGCCCTCATATGGCGTGTCGTAGATATTTGGAGGGGTGGGCTTTCCCTCTTCTTCCTTCCTCTCTCTCTGGCCTCGGTCCAGCAGAACACACACTTTCAGAAGGTCTTTGGAGCCTCGTCTACGAACCTCTACAGAATGGTCATTGATTAGTTAACAGCACTTAGATGGGGGGCTTTAGCTAGGTCATAATAGACAAAACAATGTATTTCCTAAAGGCCTTATAGCACTTTATTGACTTTATTTAAGTGTTTTGTTTCTGACAAAGAGCAGACTTGGCCTCAAAACGTCATAAATAAAGTTTTAAAAGAAGCAGATGACAGTGTTGCAAGTCCTTTGGGAGACAGACATCATGTTACAGTTTTTGGGATTCAGCACTTTACTGTATGTGTGTGTGTTTTCACACATAATAGACAAAGAAGAATCAGCATGATGTTGTATCACTGTTGAATATACACCAAGCTAAAACTAATACAGTCTAATGCAACAGTCCTGTAAATAAAGTCTACCTACATGAAGGGTCTAGGCACTCTTATTTAAGATTTCTAGGTTTCTTTCAGTAATGCATGTCATCTTCACTAGTGTTAAACAGAGTTTCTGGGCTCACTGTGATTTGCTCTCTAAATTGTGTTTGTTATGACATGTCGTTAATTTTTGGGGGTAATTTCACTTGTTGTGTTTCTTTACTGTCTGACAGGTAGCCTGTGTGTCTGCACTATTGTGTGACCAAACAATGGAGCTACAGGAAGAAAAGGTCAACACAGCCACTGATTGGCTGCCTGACCAGGCCACTTCCTGGCTGCTGGGAAGTGATTGGGTGAGACCAAGGGGGGGACCTGCAGGTTTTGGGAAGGGGTGAGGGGGTCTTTCGATTCTCTTCACACGTAAGGGACCATAAAGTATGTATGTGTCTATGTGTGTGTGTGTGGGGGGGGGTGTTACTGCGGCCAACTTCCTATCAAGAGAATGGGGCAAAGGAAACAGAGGCAGGAGACAGGAAGTTGGAAGAGGAAGCTGCACCCATTGTCCCTGCACAACACTGTTCCTATGGCAACCGCCAGCGGGGTGGGAAGTCAGCAGAGAGACTGAGGATCTAGTTTGGCTCTACGTCCCTTTAAAACGGCTCTTTAGCAAGAATGGCATAGTGTGTATTCAGAGACATAGCTAAGATGTGAAAGAGTTCCTTGGCCTTCGTATAATTTACTTATCTTATCAAAGATGATATACAAAAAGTGTTACGAGGTAAACAAATGCAGTTATGGTATGTTTCCAAGGAGACCTGTCGAATCTCAAAAAAGCAATGACAATGGGAAGTTTGGGAAGCCATGTATTTGTTTTTCTTGTCTATATACCAAATTCAGTGATTCATCCTCATTCAATTATATTTTTGGTGATCTCAATAGCTTTTTAGAGGCAAGAATCAACTGTTACGGCACAATGATTATCTTGGTTTTCCATTAAAAGCCAAAGACACATGCACTGAATCAAAGAATGACTGACCTGTGATGATGACCTGGGCATCATAGGGCTCCATGTACCCATCATTCACTCCTGCTCGCTCAGCCTCCCTCTGCTCCTTGGTTTTCTCTGCATCAAAAGGATCTGCATAGTCCTCCAGGATAATCAGCTGTAAGAAGGAAACAACCCATCAGAAAGCACAATGCGGGGCTGCTATACCTATTCAGATGTTACATTTACCTGGAGACAACAGACCAGCCGAGGGAGGGAAGGGATCTGACACGGTGTGTGTGTGTGTGTGTGTGTGTGTGTGTGGTATCCATGACTGAGTGACAAGTAATCCAGGGACATGCAGAAATACTTGAGCAAAGAGGTCAACGCATTGTGCTTGCCTGTTTGATGTGACACAATGTAGTGAAACTGCATTGTGTTCTTTTGGGAGCGATGGAAACTGAATACAGGGTTATGAACTGAGGTAGGGAGTGTAGTCACAAAGGAAAGCACTGACCTCAAGCCCACAATGAAATTTGTTTTTTGCACCATACATAATATTGATTTTGAATCTGCATGCTGCTATAACAGCTTCTGTCTGGTTTTGTTGGATAATAATAATAAATAGCAGATGAAATATGAAGATCACAAAGTGGAACATTGGATTTGCATTGGCTAAGATGGAACAATATCTTGAAGTTACTCACCGTTGCTTTAATGTCAGACCTTCCCTTTTCGTTATCGGGTTGCTTCTGTTCACTTATGCCGTTGAGTTTGGGGGTCTTGTCTTGTTTGTCCACTTTGATCATCCTGCTGATGTACGCTTGTGCCAAACTAGAGGTCCTGACCTGGCGGTTCTCATCTGGTGTCCCAGTCTCGACCTTGAAGTTCTTGCGACCTTTTCCAGTTGTGAGACTATCCCAGACTGTTCCACCAGAACCACCGTTGTTACGACCCAGTTCTGAAGCCGAATTTTTCCTGTTTCTCCCTGCCAATAGACCCCCCACTCCTCCATCTTTGCGTGGATTTCCTTTCAGACTGTCACGCGAAAACGAAGGTTTGGGTCGAGTTTGTGGACCAGATTCAGAGGCCGAACGGACCCTTTCGTTTCCGTTTTTCAGATTGATGGGAAAATCCCTGAACCATTTTGCCATGGCTGTCAAGATATTAACACTTCTCACAGATTTAACAGTTAACAAATCTGTTGTATTTTATATGTGCTCGCATTAGCTGCCCCGCTAGAACTAAACTTGAACCGTGCGCAACAGCTCCAACTTTACGCACAGATATGCGCACGCCTCGGTTAAGGTAACTGTGGTCTGAAATGACAAGAATCTCCTAGAACCAGATTCAGAGAGCCCACTTCATGGCGTTTAATTGATTTCTAGCGTCTGAAACTCCCTGACAACTTCTGGTGCGTCTTGGCAGTCATTGGCCAGTGACTCGTCGTTGCTGTCACCCTGCACCTGCAGTAACAACTATCCCTGCAGTTTGAAAAGTAGCTTCTGGAGAGCGTAAACTCGAAAGAACTCGAAGTTTTTCTTTGAACCCAGTAAAGATCCCATTCCCGGAGCGTGAGATGGTGCGTCCAGTCTGTCGACCAGAAGAAATGATGAGCTGGAGAGCAAAGTCGTGCGCGCAGACTGTGGGATGTCGCTGGATTTTTGGGGAGGGGCTGTGTGTACAAGATGGGTAGGAGTTTTACTGTAATCATTTCAACGGATACACGACTGAAGCTCCAAACTTTATCTGAAGTGAGTCTACTGCCAACAGACGCCTGGCAATAAGGAACATGTACGATCCGACATGTGACAGAAGAAAGTTATTTCACCATTTGAAAAATGTTCCTTTGATGGCTGACTTCGACAGTGACATTTGCAGTGAATGATCACGGGCTGAGGAGTAATCGTTTGGCTAATTTGTTTGTTCACTTAACCTAACCTCCCCACATAAATTAATCTCAATATGAGTCCGTTTTAAACGAGCAATGGTATAGTTGTGAACTGGTGTTTTCATTGTATATTAATGTAGCCTATATTGAGGCCTAATCTTTAACTCTTATTTTAAAAGTGCCCTGGTCAAGATAGGCAGCAATAGCAATGGACGATAACATAACATTAAAAACATGGCACAAAATTCAAATGTAACAGAAATGTAATTATAAAATCATGAATAAAATCTCAAATCATATAATAATTCGTCTCATAGAAATAAGCTAAATGGCACCTTAAAACACCCACATACCTGAATAAAATATATCTAAAGTAGCACTTATTGGACATCATGCACTTGTAGCTGAGGGGCTTTTTTTCTTCAAGGGTCCTGGATGATGATGCTGAACTACCAGCTGGTAGATAGTTGCGCCATCTACTGTTAAGTTGGAGAAAACAAACAAATATAGCAGCACTAGTCTGTATTCACCTTGGGCCATCACCGATGCTGAAAAATGTTTCTTTATCTGGGTCACACCGGTAGCTGTCTTGTTTATTTCACCTGGAGCAAACATACGGGCTTCCGTTTTTCAGCGAAAAGGTCACATAAAGCGGCCCAGGACAATGAATGACCGACGTTCAGATTTAACCAATAGCAAACGTCGCTCATATTTATAGTCCCGCCCACATCTGCTCGCTCATCCAATCACAGCGCTCTCTCCGGAGAGGCTGGGCGGGACGGTTTCATCCCTCACAAAGGTAACAGGTTGCTGTCGCCACATAATGAACTTGTAGCTGTGTTAATTTACGCAGGCGTTGTTTGTCCAACCACTTTTTGTCCCCCTGTGTGGACTTTTAATGAACGTCTGTGAACATATTTGAATTATCATCGACATAAAAGAAGGTGTCAAAGAGGAAGCGGAGGAATAACTTCGGAGAAAGAGGTAACTTTACGCTTTGTTTTTTTAACCAGACAGCTAAACAGACACGACCTGTCAGACAGTTCTGCCCTTTGTGGGAGGTTTTCTTGATGCTATGGGGTGCTTATTTCTTCGGTTACGTTGGTTGTGTGATCATTTCTCAGAGTATTGTATGACTGAGGTTTTTCTATTAGCCTGTTTAGCTTGGTAGCCAACGTTAGTTTGATGGGATAGGCAGTGTCTCCCCCAGTGTCTCCCCCAGTGTCTCCCCCTCCAGCTAACGTTACTTCAGGAAAACTTCTGAATTTCACAATAAGAGAGATGTCTGCAAATGTGTCTATGAACTGTGTAAGTACCTTCAGGGTGGCTACGTGTTTCTGCAAGTCAAGAAATTCGCGTTTAAAAAGCTGTTTCACTCCCAAACAGGATGGTTTCTGAGCATAAGCTGTGTCTCTGCACTGTACTGCCAGGGGGGATTTGTCACTGGAAAAACTGAGCTCTGACAAACAAACAAGACCTCTGAGACAGTTTTGAAGACTCCAAGACTATATGTAACCACATTTATTGATGCTTTAAAACCTTAAATGCAACATAATTATAATTTAATGATATTTATCTTCTGCAAACTCTCAAGGAAATGTTGAAGAACAGGTGAATAATACAGAGATACTCTTCCAGATTAATGCTTGAGTCAGATGAAACTGTGATGATGCCAGCGAGAAATAAGTGCAGATTATAGTTTTGAAGTGTGTTTTGAAGTTCAGTAATTATAGCACTGAACTTGCAAAGCCGTTGACCACGCTGACACAGTTTAAAACTTTTAACCTGGCAGCAATCCTTAATACTTCTGCACAGAGTGATAACGGGAAGTCAAATGTCACAGGTATAAATACTGAAGTTTTCACATAAAATCCAATAAATCAATCTCTCTCACACTCTGGTACACTCTGCCTGTGTAAGTGAGAAGGATAGAGAGAAACAAGTGTCTGGAATGTGGGCGAAGGGAGGGGCGTATTTATGTGCTCCTAATATGGTGTCATTTGTGTACTATTTGGTAACACTGAAGCCTCCCTTTGTTATGCCAATGAAGTTCTTTAGATCTGAAAGGAGGAATAAATGGCTGTTTGTTTGAGTGTGAAAGAGGAGTAGTGGCAAGTTTGAGAGAGAGATTGACCGCTGGAGAGAGGAAGAGGGCCCTGGTTTAAAGTGAAGAATGTAATGGAGACGGAGAATACCCCTGAGGACTGAGTGGCTGCCTGTCCTTAAAGGACACAGAAGGCGTGAGCGATTGTTTTGTCCATCGCTGTTCAAGGTTATGGCCCTTAAAACTTAATGATTCATCTGGAAAAATAAGGGCAAACTACTGTTTTACAGCACGCCCGTGTTGACTTTAGAGGAGGCTCTATACTTGCTGAAACAGTTAGGTGATTAATTGATTTGTCTGTAAACTAAAAATGTATTGAATTGGTAATTGATTAATTATTTTAATTAGTTTATCCAGCATAAAATGTAAATATTATCAAATGTGTGGATTTGCTGTAAAGATCCTCAACAATTTCCCTCAGGATTAGCAAAGTTATATCTTATCTCCTCGCTGTTATATCATTGTAAATTGAATATAAGCATGAAAGTTCATTATTGGCCTTGGAAACAGTAGTTATACATACAAACCTTTCAACCTTACATCCTCATCTCATCCTCATCTCATCCTCATCTGTAACAGATGGAAGATATCAGTTTGTGAAATTATAATAAACAATTTTCTTTATTTTATGACCTTTTTATAGACTATTAATCAATCGATTGAAAAAATAGCCAGCTGGGAATGATAGTTCATAATCAGAAATTAACACAATTTACATTGTAAACTGAAACACAGTATATATGAATATTGTACATACAATTCAGTATGTAGGAAGGATACATTTGCACATGTTAAACACAGCACGAATGACATTTGCATTCTTTGTTTAGTTGTCATTCAAGGTGTCACTTAGTTTAAGTTTTGACTCAAATAACCTTCAGCCTTTGCTGCTCGTCCCAGCTGTATCAGTTTTAGGCCAGAGATGATCTGATCACATGAACCATGCTGACTCAGTGAGACTTTCGTGAATCCACACATTGCTGTTGTTTCATTTCTCTCCACACCCGCTCTAATCTCCTAATTACATTTTCCATTCCATCTCGGATCTTAACAGGGGAGCAGCTCCAATTCAATTTACTGTGCGAGAATTCAATTTGAGGCCAGTGGCAGAAAGGGCCGTCAGCATAACTGCAAGATAACATGACTAGCAACAGAATCCAAAAGCACCAGTTACACTTTGAGCTGGGAATGCAAGTCTGAAAAAGTCACATCCTATTAATGATGCGAGTGTGGATAAGAGACCTTTGTTTGAGAGCCTGCTCAAAGAATACTTAGACTTTAACTAACAATCTTCTGAATTATCGATCTTATCTATAAAATATCAGAATATAATGGTAAATCTCAATAACCTAAAGCCCAGGGTGACAACAATACTCCGTTTACTATTACATAAGATGAAAATGCAACAAATTATCACAATTGAGCTCAAATTAGAGAGTAATTACCATTTAATCACTTGTTTCTTTCAAATAAAGAAAGCAATAACATTAGGTGTGACTGACAGGTTAACATCATGGCACAGACACTGTATAACCAAACGGATTACAGAAGAACTTGTTTGCTATCATACTGCTAGTATGGGAAAGGATGTTTATTTTAGAGAGGCTTTGGGGAGAAACCTCAAAGGGAGGGGGGATATGGGGCCAGAAATATCACGGTTGAAACAAAGTTGTTGTTATCAGATGGGCAGTGTGAGGGAGGGAATGGAGGAGCACGGGGATCGTTTTGGCATTCTCAGGATTGCTGCCCTCATTTTACGCCCCACATCAGCTTGACAATAGGATGGGTTCCCCCTCACCCATTGTGCATTCTTCCTCGGTGACATAGAAAAATTAAACTGATGAAGTGATGCACGTAAACAGATATTAGTGAGGAACAAGTCTTGTTTCTACCCTCAATTTAAATATCTGTATGTTTGGCATACTTACATATCACCCTGGTTCAGATCAGTATCTCACATAAAATCAACGGACATTGTCTTCTGCGTTCATCATATGGCGTGTCTGCGCTACGTTCGTCAGTGCATGACATGTTTGCTTGACCTTGCTATGAAGACAGTGGGCTGCAGACTTCATGCTCAACTGCACAAATGTGTTGTGACATGGTGCTTCCTCTGTGGTTCCCAAAGGGTGGGGGAAAAAAATCGACCAACTGTGCACGTCGAGGTACAGGACTGTCTGCAGATGATGCTTACGCACTACAAGCGCACAGATATACTCAAAAGGTCATTCATGTCATGTTGCTTTGCTCTCACTGCCAGCCCAGACATTTTCCTTCACCTATTCTTGCTCCAAAGTAAAAAGTATTGACTTTCACAGCTGCGACATTTAAGATTATCTGTCCTGGCTCACTTTGCTGACTGCATCTTATGTTCTTCAGAATGACTCTGCGTGTTCTGGGCTGCGTCATACAGTGTCCAAAATCTGTATGGAAATGTAAAAATGTGTGTGTAGGCGTTCAATAATATATGGGTGCATGGGTCAGTGTAAAACAGAGGTCACTATTTGATGGTTACGCTTGTAGTCAGTCCTTTTGTGTGTATGCGGGGGGAGGGAGGGTTGCGCACAGGAACAGCTTGACTTTGGAGTTTATCACACAATCCACTGATAAGAGAAGAAAAGCTAAGTGTTTTTTCTCCTCTCTTTTTTCTCTCACTTCACCCTCCCGAGGCCCACTTTCTGTCTCTCACGTTGGAAAGCTGTGGAGAGGAAGTAAAAGGTGCAGAGGTCAGGAGGGAGTGTTGTAAGGTTCGAAGTTAGAATGAATGACCCATATCAGAGTAATGACATGGGATGAGATCTGACAATGTGACCTAACACAAGGCATGATCAGTGAGTCAACGTTATACCGGTAATGTTCATTTCAGTACTTTATATTGTTGCCAGTGACGTATAACTAAACCTTGACATACAGCAGGTGTTGAAACTACACATAGTTTCAGGATTACTCATCAAGCATTATCAGAGTTTAGAAAATGGGAGGATTAGGGAGTCAAGAAAAACATTAAAAGTTGGGAAATTACTGTGGAAAAAAATAAATAAATGAAAAGGCCCTTATTAGTAGCTGTGGTACCTGTCTGTATTCAAGCTGTCAAAGTTTTGTTGAGGGAAATAGGTGTAGTATCTGGCTGGGAAAACTTCCAAAAGTTGGGAAAGGCTTAGCTGATCCTTACAAGGGGAAAGTGATATGTGGGTGTGTGGTTTCAGGTTAATGACTAATGGAGTGCACTGAGGTCAAAGTCCACACAAGCAGTCAAGAGCCAGAAACTGTGTTACTGCCTATAAATCTGTGTTCTTGTATTTGTTGAAAGCAAACTGCGTCTCTGTGTTTGTCTAACAAGGTTTGGACATTACAGGGTTCTAATGAGGTTCTAGGTATTCTTTATTTTCCTAATTTCAGGGAAGAGTTGTGGTATGTTAATCTGGCTGATGATTTTATTGTAGAATTGTCTTTTTCTTTCTTTCTTTGCTTCCCTGAACCTGCTATTGTGAGTATAGCCTGACCGATACTGGATTTATTAGTCCGATACTGATTGATATTTGGGAGTTTAAAATATATATCGAATTATAGTCATTTTTAAAACATGTAAACAACCTTGGTACAGATCCCTTAGAGTTATTTTGAATGTAGCTCAGGTGGTAGAGCAGATCATTTGTAGCGTTGGTGGCCGCATGTTGAAGTGTTCTTGTGAGTGTAACAATACTAGACCAAAGCTATGTACCATGTTGATCGGGTGCAGAAATAAGCCAAAACCTAATCACATCCTTGCTTCCTTCTTCTCTTCTGTACTGCTCTCTGCTGTGTTACCAGCATGAGCACACCATCTTCAGGTCGGAAGACCCCAGTGGACTACGGTGTCCAGATCCGCTTCATCGATGACATTTGCGACACTGGTGGGGGGCAGCCCGGGTCCCAGCCCAAGCCCAAGCCCAAGACCAAGACTCAGACAACCTCCAAATACGGTGTGGCTGTCAGGGTGCAGGGTATTGCTGGCCAGCCATATGTGGTCCTGAAGGACGGAGAGAAAGGAGACTCATATGGGGTCCAGCTCAGGACCCAGTACCCCTCTGGTTACAGCAGCCTTCCCCGGAGGAGAGAGAAGGCAGAGCCAGGAATACAGGGGCCAGATGTAGGAGGAGGAGGAGGAAGCGGGCAGGGAGGTGCTCTACGCCGGGCCCAGTCCCATGGCTCGCTGCTGGACAGAGATGGGGAGGGAGGGGCAGGCAATGAGGATTTTCAGCTGTCTAGGCCACCAGGGGATGGGAAGTCTGGTAGTTATGGGAATCTGGATGGAGGAATTGGGGTAAGGGGGGAGAGGGAGCAGGTTCGGCATGTTGGTGGTAGAGAGGGGGACACGGAAAGGAATATGTGGGAGGGTTCATACACAGCAGGACTCAACGGGTCAGTGAGGAGCAGTCAGTCCTACCCTGATTCTCCTCAACAAACAAATGAGCTTCACTCTAATAAGAGACTGACTCCTGTCAACAGACTAATAAACAGGTTTGATGGTGGTAACTCTGGAGGCCAACATGGAGGACTCCCTCCTGTAGATCCCAGAGCTCAATCTCCTCTCCTCACCCCCAACCCCTACACCTCACCCCCGTCCTCAGCGCCCAGCAGCTTAGGACACAGCCAGGCCGCTGTCACCAAATCTCCTGGACACTCCGCTAATCAGTGGACTCCGCCAAAATATGCTGCTGTGGAAACGCCGCAGGCTATTCTGACTGAGGCACAAGTAAGTGTGTTGTTTTATGTCTGGGCATTACAGCTGATTTTAGTGAACTCCAATCACCACGTAGCATGCAACATTGCAAGAGTAGTTTTCTGATCTATGTCTCAAGGTGACTCCTGACCTTTTGCTGGACCAGGGTCAGAGTGCAGAGATGACCAGCGAGGAGGAGCAGGTCATGCAGACTATATACAACATCCTGAGACAAGGGTAGGAACCTACATGTTATCCTGGCATAGCACATAGAGTTTTTATTTAGTTTTCATAATATATTTGTAATGCATGATTACATTCATTTGTTATATATTTGGCCATTTTCACTTTCTCTCAGGACCAACGAGAGTGATGTTATCATAAAGCACAAAGTGAAGGTCATCTTTCAGAAGATTCAGAATCTAAAGGTTTGTCCTTTTTGGAAATATCTAATATCATGAGGGGTTTGTTTCTGCATTGTGGTTCATATGTTCGGGTAAAGAGAAAGTATGAACATTGAGACTGTGTATTGGCAAGACTCTGACAGTACGATATGTATCACGATACAGGGGTTACAATTTATTATATTGTGATACAATTTATTTTTACTTATTTATTTATATTGCAATTTTAAATAAAATCTAATTTTAGGAAACCATATGCATAAACAATCAATACAATGTTTTTGAGAATTGATACCACATAACAGTGATATCACAAAACACAATATCACAATACAATATTTTCTTACACCCCTAATGAGCATAGTGCTTACATGTATGTTCCCATATTCCTTTTTCTTCAACAGCCCAAAGAAAGACCTCAGGAAGAGTGGATGAGAGAAAAGAGGGCGCTTGAAAGAAAGATGGTTGACCTACAAACTGCACTGCAAGAGGAAAGAAGGGTAAGCGAAGCAGAAAAGATGTGAGGGATTTGAAAGATATTTTATACTGTTGTAATAGTTCAGAGTTTATTGGCAGCACTGAAATGTGTTTCTATACTTTTGTCTAGTTGATAAGACACAATTTTATTTTTAAACAGCATGTTATGTTAATTCCAATGTGTGCCCAGAATATAAAAAATGTTTTCTGTCATTTCACAATGCCCAACATAAGGTAGGGGGAAAACACATTTGCGCAAGAGTTTTAGGTTGTTACTGTAATTTCAGTGCCTTGGATGACCCTCCAAACAACCCTAAATTCACTTGCCTGATTAGAACTGGCTGCCATGTTAACATTCAGAGAGTAACCTGCCACTTTAAATCAGCTCTAATTACATAGTGCACATCCAGTGCCACACATAGACACTCATCCAAGTTTCCTCGAAATGAGAGCACCAACTATCAAGTGAAGGAAAGCTGTTGGTTGCTTGAGAGTAGGAAACTCCTGTTGTTTGACCTGAGTTTTTCTGTCTTTTTAACTAATCTAACCAGGAGGACTGGGGGTTCCTTGGAGTGTGCTTCAGATTAATCCTCAGATTAATCCTTAAAGCCCTCTGGGCCAGTCGAAGGTGCACAGACGATAATCTAACTTCAATAATGACTCATTATATGTTGCTTAAGGACGGTGGGCAGGTCTTGATCTCTAATAGCTCTTAAGAACTTAATCCCTTATGCATATTGATCGGTGGGCAAATGCAAGCCCGCTTTAACATTTCCTAAAAGCCCACTGTTTGTGCCTCCAGAGCTACTTGATGTCTAATGTTTCACTGCTCTCATTTATTTATCATGTCTGCTCGTCTGTAGGACTCTGTTAGCAATTCTGATCCCACTCTGAAAGCTGAGCTGGAGACCTGTCTGGATGAAAATCTGCAGCTTCAGGAGATGCTGGACCGGAAGAAGAAAGAATTAAATGAAACACAATCAGAGTAAGGATACAACAGCACTCACACACACACACACACACACACACACACACACACACACACACACACACAGGGAAGCGTGACAGGGCATGGTACCATTGTCTGTGTGTCTTGGTGGTCACGAGTGAGAGGGGCGCATGACAAGCCCACTTTGTTTTCAAGCACAAACCCCTCACAATTTTATGAAACAATTTGTAACTGTAACTTATTCAGAAGAAAAACAACTATGCCTTAGTCATATGAATGCAAAGAATCATTCAGTAGTGTATGTGTCCTCTTTTCCTCGCAGGCTGACTCAGCTTCGTATGGATAGGGAGAACGCAGAGGCACGGGTCAGAGAAATGGAGGACCAGCTGGCTGAGCTTCAGGATGAAATGAGAAGAGAGAATGGCAGCAAGACGGTATCAGAGAAACATACCCACACAGATATACAGGGAGAAACTGTCAACTCTACTGTTGAAACACGCTCAGACTCAAATGCTTCTCAAGACAGCATTTATATCATGTAGCATCATACTTTGGTTGATTAAAAAGCTTTTGCAGATAAAAGCAAGGTTAACTTAAATTCCTGTTATGAAAATCTGTATAGGGTTTGTGTTAAGAATTGAGCAATTCTGTACAAAGAGTAGGCGGATATCAAAGTATCAAGTTTTTAATGTTTATTCCCTGTTCCTGCAGGATCTGATGTCTTGTCAGGTGCAGCTGATGGAGGTATGCCAACTGAAACAGAAGCTGGAGGAGACACTAAGACAAAGAGAGCGGGAGCTAACTGCTCTCAAAGGAGCTCTGAAGGAAGAGGTGGCCACACATGACAAAGAGATCGAGGTGCTCCGGGAGCAGTACAGTGTTGACATGGAGAAGCTCCGCAGCAGTATGGAGCATGTGTCTCAGGTGTGCACACAAACACAGTATCCAGATCGTCATCACTTACACTTGACATGAAAATGTTTTTAAGTTGAAGACAAAATGGGAAAGCCTCAACAACAGACCCCACGAGCAAAACCCTGTGACAAGACCCTGAAAAAGCACCTCTACATGCTTTACACTGTATTACAGGATACATGGGTAAACCTGAACCAGAGAGATTCAGTTTTAGACTGTATGTAGTTAAATACATTTCATAATATTTACAAGAAATAAAAGTTGCTTCATGTTCCTTGTAATTGGTACTGTGTGTAGTACCCACTCAGTATCAAAATGAAAATAGCATCTTACTCAGGAGGGAACCACAGTACACAGATAGAGGGGGCATTTTCACACCAGTTTTCAGGAAAACCCTGATAATGGTTCATTCTTATCTATAAATACTGGTATACTCCTTACATTAACATGGTCGGGTTTGTAAAATGTATTTGCAGACCTGCTTATTTTCTTGCTTTAACTCATTCTCAAGTCAAGTCCACTCCAGTCTCTGTCACAGTTATTTCTACAGCACCCACATTCACAATAACCTCTGTTGTACATTTACACTCTTTTGCCTCCTGCTTTAGTCTCATGCAGGGATCGAGGCAGAGCGGCTGCGTGTAAATGCAACGGTTCGCTCCCTACAGCAGCAGCTGGAAGACTGTAGAGATGAAAGCAGCCACTGGATGGAGCAGTTTCACGCCACTAGAGATGAACTTAGAACAACTAAACAAGAGTGAGTCTATTGTAATACATCATGTTGTATTGTATTCATACTGTACCTACCTGGACCTTGGAAATTGGATTTTGTCACCATCTTCTCATGGTTTCTCTTTGCACCTACTTTACTACTAATGAGTGTCCATCTCTTCTCTTTTATTTTACCTGGTCAATGTTTCTCTCCCTCTCTGTCAGAGAGCCACCCAGCAACCGTGAAAAACAGTGAGAGTCACTAATTGAACAGCATTTGTGTTTTAGATAAGCAAACCTGTAGATGTGGCTAGCTGTGCTAACAAGTGTCTGACTGTAGTTCCAAGAGCATCCACACATGCAGTCCGAACTGTAAATGTCCACAGTGTCTACATGATCCAAGTTTAAATACGTACCATGAACCCTCAAGTACCTGGGTCCTAATGGGAATATGGGCCATATTTAGTACTGTATTGGTTGAGTAGAAATGGTGCTGAACACCAGTCAAAGTCAGGATCTTCTGGGCATGACATTTTACATTTGGCTGTTCACTTCCTCATAGTGTGAGGAAGTAAACAGCTGCATGTAAGCAGAGACTATAAAGATACAGAGGAGTGGTGTGGATGATCTTAAATGTCTGTGTTTAGCAAAAAACGTGTTCTAGACTTGTTTTCTGTGAATATGTCTGGCTGTTATGCGATACAAGGAATGCTGATTTATTTCCTGTTGTCTGAAGATTAAATAATGACTTATTTGCTTATCAAAGTAAATTAAGCTCACTTGTCATGATTCACCTGTGCAATCTAACTGCTGCTGATCAGATAATCCAGCAGTATTTTTATATGGTACAATTTGTTTTGATCAGTTGTATTTGATCTACACTTTTTAGACTCCTGCAAACTCGTCTGGAAAAAGAGGAGTTTGAGGAAGAACTAAAAGAGCTTCAGGGGAAAGTGAGCACCATGAAACAACAGATACCGGACCCCGGCCACACTCAGACTCTCAACCAGGTGCAGAAAAAATACACTTAGCCCCACATGACCACTACTGCACAGACAAATAACCTGATCTGTTTAACAAAAACAAAGAAATGTAACAATCAAATTGTTCATATTTGTGTTCAGGAACTTCAGCGATACAATGCTGATCTACAGAAGGCAAAGTCTGAGGTGGAGAAGCAGAGGTTGGAGTTTGACAAGAAGGTCATGGAAATCATCTCCATAAAGAAATCTCACCAGAACCAGGAGGCAGAACTGAAGTATGAGATTGACAGGCTAAAGGATCAGTTGCAGAGGGCCAAAGACGATTTTGCCCGGTCACAGGAGAAAAACAAACGGGTTAGTTACATTTTACAGTGAGGAGATAAAGCACGCTGAAGAAGTTATCTCAGTGAGATTATAGCAATGTAACTTACACAAATTAACTGGTTATAAATTCTTTAATGTTTAATCCTCATCTTTCTTGAACTTTTCATCAATATCATTCTCTTGTCTTCCTGTCTATAGCTCCCAGACCCAGCCGTCATCACAGAGCTGGAGCAAAAGCTTGATGAGACATGTAGGGAGGCTAGCCAGCTCAAAGAGAAACTCTCATTAGCTGAGGAGGAACTGGAAGCCAGTAAAACACGTCTCAATAAAGCTCAGATAGACGTTAAATCACTCCAAGACGGCCAGCAGGAGCAGGAGGAGGCAAACGCACGTCTCAAAGAGAAACTCTCACGGTTAGAGGTAGGTCTCATCCTCTGATACACCACACTGTGGCGTAGACCGTCAGTGTGTTAGATACCCTGAAAATAGTAGACAAATTTAAGCATAATTGGACATCCTCTGTGGCCTCCTCAGGCTCAGCTGCAGAACAACGCCACAGAGAGCTCCGAGGCAGAGCTTGCCCTCCACACCGAGGTGAGAGGGCTGAGATCTGAGCTAGATGAGGCGAAGCGAAAAGCTTCCAGACTGAGCCAGGAGCACCGTGAATTAAACCTGCGTCTGGAGGATACGGAGAAAGACAAAGAGACACTCAAACAGACCTTCAACCAGCTGGATGAGATCAAACGACAGCAGGAGAGAGCTCTGGAGAAAATCAATAAAGAGGTACAAAGAAAAATCCTTTTCATACATTTACAAACAAATAAAAGCTTCTGCAGCTTGAAGCATCAAACTGCTCAGTACAGGAAAAAAAATTCACCATCTTTGTTTTTCCCCCTCTCCCTTTCGCTTTTCTCTGTCAGTATGAGTCTCTGGCCATATCCTCAAGAGAGGAGGTGCAGGCTCTCAGGATTCAGGTGGAGGAGCAGAGAGAGCGGGCACGCAAGGAAATGCACGAGGCGCAACGCCACGGAAACGACGCTCAGAGTGAACTGGAAAGAAGCCATATAAATCTGAAGAGACTGGAAGAAGAAGTGTGTGTTTTTGTTTTGAGTGTTTGTGTGCATGCTTCATCGCATACTTGTTTGTTTGGCATGTTTTTAGTTTTTATTATGAAAATGATGTCTGGTCTGAATGTTCTCAACAATTCTGACGCATAATATTCATATATTCATAAAATTCATGACTGATTCCAACATGCAAAACCAAACAGTGATGAACATTCAGTCTGGCATTACTTTTTCTAATATTATGATGAATCTAAATAGATGTCACGACAGAAGAAGGAGCTTCTGGTTGCCTGTGAGGAAAGAGACAACCACCAGCTGGATAAAGAGCTTCTCACCAACAGACTGCGCCACCTTGAGGGAGAGATAGAGACCAGCAAAAACAGTCTTAATGAGAAAACCCGGGAGATTCGCATCCTGGAGGTAAGATACGTGCATCTGCTCCCCTCGAGGTTTGGGAGTATAAACCATGACTACAGGGCTCTCTGCTGTTAATAGCTCTGCTCTGCATACATTGTTTGTATAACAGTCTGTATATATTTATTTGTAAATCAAACAGATACGAGGGTATTTATTTGTCATTTTTCAACACTGGATTGTTGATTGTGGAATGAAATTTAGGTTGACGTTCCCTTAATGCTACTAATAAAAACTAAAAATATATATACAAAAATGATATACAGTGAAATTGATTAAGTCATAAAAACAATAAACAATTTTACATAATGGAGTGCTGAGGAGAAATTAAGCCGTCTCAGAGCCTGAGGGAAGAAGCTGCTCTGTAGTCTGGTGGTACAGCAGCGGAAGCTTCAGTACCTGTTTCCAGATGGTAGCAGGGTGAATAGGCAGTGGCTATGGTATGTTCTGTCCTTTAGTATCCTTTGGGCTGTGGGTAGGCACCTCACCTCACAATATCACTGATGCTGGGCGGTTTTATCACGTCCTATCCTGGGCCGTGCACATCCAATGCCAGTTAGTGATGTTTCCAGTCAGGATGCTTTCTATTGCCTCTCTGTAAAAGTTAACAAAACTTTGGCTTGGGAGTTTTGCTTGCAGTGTCCTTAAGAAATACAATCGTTTCTGAGCTTTCTTTACCAGGGTGGTGATGTGAGATGACCATGACAGGTTCTCTCTTCACCTGCTCCACCTCCGCTCCACTAATGTAGACAGGACTGTGTGTCTTTGCCTCCTTTTTCCTAAAATCAACAATAAACTCCTTGGTTTTTCTCATATTAAGCAGTAGGTTGTTTTCTTAACAAACATACTAAACAGATTAGCATTTAGACTTGCTCAATGTGCATACACTCTGTTATTACAACAGATCAAGAGTATATACATGCGTACATGTCCAAACTCCATCATATCTCTCACTGGGGCATCTGATAAAGTTGATCTCATTTCTTCTCTGTCAGGATAAGCTGAAGCGTGTGGAGTTGGAGCTGGAGGAGGAGAAAAGCAGTGTGGAGATGATGACAGACCGAGTGGCTAGGAGCAGAGACCAGATCGATCAATTGCGCTCTGAGCTCATGCAGGAGAGATCCACCAAACAGGACCTGGAGCTGGACAAGAACGCCATGGAGAGACATGTACATACACACACTCCACATCTGTGTTTGCTGACATTTGTGATCATCAGTAGCTGAAACTCGAATCTGCCAAAATACACTTATCACTCTTTGGACTCTTGCATCTTAACCGAAACTCAGAATACAACATTTAGGTGAAAGTCCAAAACATCCCCACCCTGACCCTCCACTCGAGTGTATTCAGTATATGTCTGATCTGCTGTTTGTCTGTGTCTGTCCCTGCAGCTGAAGGAGCTGAGGAGTCGTGTGGCTGACATGGAGGGCCAGTCTCGCTCCTCAGCCGGAGTGTCCCAGCTGGAGAATAAGATCCAGGATCTGGAAGAACGCCTACGAAGTGAGGAAAGGTACAGTGCAACAGATAGAGAACCTGCTGCAGTCCAGGATATCTTCATTCTGGACCACATTTTTCTCACTGATTTGTTTGATTTACAATTTAATATCTCAAATTCATCTGTTAATTTAAACTATGAAAGACAGTTTATTAAGGGGGGTATTTTGTTTGGTTTGGCTTTTCTTCTTGAATTTATTTAGGGTTCCTTCTTATCAAACCAGATCAATAAAATTCACATTGATTGAGTTATACATACTCATACCTGAGAGTCCAGTATAACCAGACTTTAACACCCAGCTACAGAGCATCTTAATGAGAGCAATGAGGTGGCAAATGTCTTGCTCAAGGACATTTTAGTAATAGCTTACATGGGCAAAGTATTGTGTCTTATGCTCTGTTCTTTTCTTATATGTGTAAAGGGAGAAGAACTCCGTTTTGGCATCTCAACGACGTCTGGAGAGGAAACTAAAAGAACTCAACATGACTTTGGATGAGGAGAGACATACGCACACTGAACAGAGAGACCAGGTATAAACATTCACCTCCTACTCCTCAGTATATAAATTTACTCTGAGCTATATCTATAGCAAATGCATATACAGTCAACACTTTAACCTTATCCTGTGTTGCAGCTTGCTCTTAGAGTGAAAGCTCTAAAAAGGCAGGTGGACGAAGGAGAGACTGAGCTGGAAAGGATAGATGGACAGAGGAGAAAGGCTCAGAGAGACATGGAGGAACAGATGGAGCTCAAAGAGGCCTTGCAGACCAGAGTCACAGCACTTGAAACTGAACTCAAGTAAGCATTTCCTTTTGTTTGTCATCAATTTTGTTTCTCATCCAATTTGTTATCAACTGTGTGAGCCTTTGGTAACGATTATGCAAGACACTTCCTGCCAGCCAGATTACCACAGTGTGTGTGAGTAAGAGAGACACACCATCTCCTCCTTCTCATGTCACAGAATGAATAAAATTTCACATAAATGACGTTATTACCCGTGAATACAGATTCCTTGGCTGTTGCACACACCTGGCAGAGATTTACACACCTCCCTGAGGTGCAGTATTTCACAATGTGATTCGTGTACAACAAATCACCCATGTGTGAAAAGGTATTTCATTAAACTAAAACGAGGCATTACTCATGTACCACGGGGGAAATTAAATTCCAGACATGCTCCCACCAGTAACAAGGAAGTGCATGGTGTTCCCTTATATTTCCAGCAGAGGGAGCACTATGATCACTTGGCAGCATTTGTGAATGAAGCAACTGATCAGTAAATTACAATGTGTTACAACAGTTAATGATGACAATGTTGATTATTTCACAGGAGAAAAACACATGCAGCAATGCGCCCAGTTTTGGATTCGTCAGCCCTCAGCTCCGATGATGACGACAGCCTGTTTGACCCCTCCTCCATCACCTCCATCCTAACTGAGAGCAACCTCCAGACCAGCTCCTGTTAAAACAGCACTTCTGGGACAGGGAAAGGGTGGGAAAACGTAGCACTGTTTATGAAAAAAATCATGGAAGTGTTAGCTGGTTAGCTACTTTGTAGACTGGGAGAAAAGCCAAAAGGCCAAATCATTCCCCAACTCAAAAAATTGAGTAGGGGAATGATTTTCCACACAAGAGTGAATTGAAGGAAATAGAGCATCCTCTGCATTTCATGGAATTTCCCTCAGTCTACAGTGTACACCGACATACTCCGTGGTACAGTTGGAAGGACTCCTTCGCATTTATGCAATACACTACACAAGGTACTCCAGCATTTATTAACTCACTAAGTCGGTAAATGGATTGCAAGGAGAGAAATTAAGCTAGAAGCACAGAAAAAAACATGAATAGAAAATACCTCTTGAATTTTTTGGTACATATTTAGTATGTCAAACCATTTCAGGGTTGAAACTCTGGGTCTCACACTTATGGTACAGAGTCTGGCTTTTGACTGAATTATCAACAATACTAATTTCTTGGTGTAGACAGTTTACCTGCTGGACATAAGTTATGTTCTGTGCTGTCAACACACAGCTGTCAACTGACTGAACTCACAAACTCTGCACCCCCAGCATTCAACTACTACAGAACACGGACCAAACACTGACATTTAAGTGATTGAAGTGAGCCATAAAACACTATGATTCTTATGCTAGTTTGCTTTTCCGAACCAAATCTGATGGTTGTAGTTCTGCAAATGATTCTTATTGAATGAAATCTGGAGTTTGTTTACGTAAAAGAAAATATATTATCTTGTGTTTTTTTTAAGTATGGAATATGTCATTTTGGTGCTTGAGGATCATTTGGAGCAGGAGTTTTATTCCACCGTCCAGTCTTTAAAGTCACACAGTACACAGTAGTTTGAATTATTATTATTATTATTATTATTATTATTATTATTATTATTCATTATAAAGTATGACACTAGTAGCACCTGAAATCAATTCTCTTGGAGAGGGACCCAATGGTAAATACTATAAATGTGATAGAAACCTCATGTTGGTGTAAAAGTTTAGATTAGCTTTGTTGTTGCTCAACGACAGAGAAGGCTCACAAAATAACTTTCCTTTGTCAGAATATCACATTCTGTTAAAAAAAAGTGTTTTGTCACTTTTAAAGCAAAATAATTGCCAAAATATCTTCCTGTCTGATTTAAACTGTCCATGTTTATTTGTAAAAGCTGCACAATTTCTATGCATTCCTTTATAACAAGTCACTGAAATATATTCTCATCATTTCATCACAATGCCTTAAAATTGTTAAAAATAATTTTGTAATTGACTTGTAAGTCTTATATGAATGATTTTTGTAAAGTGTTTGTATTTAACATTTGTAGATTCTTTTGATTGTTGAAACTGTGTACAAAAATCAATCAGTTGGCGCTATAATTGTATTGACATTACTGCGATGTAATGTCTCTCAGTATCTTTTCAGTGGAACTGGAAGATGGTACTAAATACGATCTGTTAGAGTATAAAGGTTACTGGTATATACTGTAATTGTGACAGGAAGAAAATGTACACTGTGACTGTACTTCACAAAATATCTTTTTCTATTACATATAAATTTAGCAGCAATAAAGCTATTAAGTTAAATTCATCTGTTTATTGTGCTTCAGTGATTACAGAACTACTTTTACTGCATAGTTTTTTTTTGCACATTTCAGGATATACAATTCCCTCATTGTTTTTGTACATTTGCCTTTTACAGAGGGAGCCTGATATAACTGGCTTACTGGCTTTCTGCCTTCTGCACACTAAAGTGTAAGATTACAGTGGACATTGCTCCCACATTAGTAGATTTCTTAGGAAGAGGTTGGAGGAAGTCAACAGATATTTAACCTAGAGTAATCTATTAACAGATATCTGCATATAAATTATCATCAGACGATAGCTGAAGGGTTCTGAGATTGAACCCAGATAGTAGTAACTTCTACTTTATTATTCATGTAATAATCAAAATTATACTAGGTTTGTTTAATTTAGTGCACTGTCCCCAGAAGCCTCGGCCTCTCATAGTGTCATTTTCAGCCACAGCAGGAACTTTGCTGTTGTTTTAATGTAGTGGAGCATTTAGTAGCTAAAGAGACACATATTTCCCTCAGGAGTTTGTAGAGACTACAAACCGCTAAAAGAGGTTAACTATTGGACTTATATTCATCAGTTGGTCAGAAACACGACTCCAAATGAACGATAATGTTTCTTGTAACAACTGGATATGTAAATAAGCAACTTAAGAAGTTCACCGTTCCAACTTCAAACGTGAAGTTGTGTCAGTGTTGTGTACACAACTTGTTTCAGCTGTCCCAAGAGGCCTAAAAAATCTGTTATTGTAAGTTTAATACTATATAATTTACCTGTAGCCATGGGGAAAGACACATTCATACTAGCCCCTAGCAGCTCTTCTCTAAATAAAGGAGTAATATGTAGAATATGTAAGTTGTATGAACAATCTGTGTGATAGACAAAAACTACAAACTAACATATCAAACTGAAGGATCTATAAGCAGAAATGCAATCACATTCGATAAATAGTTGTGCTAGAATTCCCGTGTTTGAGGGAGCATGACTATTTCGAAGGAACAAGACAAGAATTTGGCAGCAGGGCTTTGCTTCTGTGGAACTGAAGGTTTGTTGTGTAAGCTCGGGTTACACAGAAGTTATTCATTACCACAGAAGCTCACTAATAGCATCGCAGGTATTATCAACTGTCCAGTACCCGACCTTAATTCACATTGTCTGTGCATGATTACAGTTTTGTCTTTTTCATATTTCAAACACTGGTTGTGAACAGGCAGACTGTTGACATGTTGAGCAGACATTTTAACATATAATAGCAGGAAAGGCACAGGTGTAACTAATAACCCTTCAGTGTCCTGATATTGTGCATGCTGCATTGCTTACTGGAGCACTAAATGGAATATAAAAATTAATTGTATTATCCTGTGTTTAGATGTTCCAGTTGCTGTTCATCCCCTTGTTCTCCAGATGTGCAGATTACATTTTTTTGTGACAGTTTAACATCTAAACTGCACGAGCCTTCTGTCCACACGGCTTTGAAATTACTGAACAGTAGGTCATGCAGCAGTGCGAGTCTATCCATCTTGTAGCTCTACAGGCCCTAAAGCTGCATGCTGCATTACCCCCCAAAGACACAACATTGTATGTGACCTTTACTGTTGTGTTTGCATCAGCTGTTTCAGCAGCGAGGCCGCTGAATGTGTTGACATGCCATTCACTGAGCATGCAGTGGCCATGGCTCAGTGCTAATGTTGTTGTTTTGCCCTCTTAGCTCTTTGCTGCAGGATTGTTTTCTGTCATAACATAAGCATCATGCAGAGCAGAAATCAGCTCGGCTGAAGAGGACTGAATTATCGTGTATAGAGACATTCGCAACAACCTCGATAAACAGTTCAGGCCTCTACTTTAGACTTCAGTTTTCCAGCTGTCAGCTAATTAAACTCACAAATTCTCTACACAACTAAACCTGTATGCCACCGTGCACAAAACCTAGTGAAAAAATCCAAACAAAATCTGACATTTAGTGTGTTGATAACAGCAGCAAGTGAAAGAGAAGGTTAACTTGCTCTACCATCTTTAATGAGTTACAGAATTTAATCTGGACATTGGATACTGTGATAACCACCATGCAGGGTAGAAAGCAACTAAGCTGATGAGGTCTGCCTTCTTATTTGTGGACACATTCACAGATTTATACAATTACTATGTCCACACACACCTGGATTAATTATTTGGGACTCCATACATGCATCACCTTCTTCACCTTGAGAAAGGCGGGAAAATACCAAACTGCACACCTGCCACACCCTCGATAGATTTAAGACAAATTAATCATGTCTGTTTGTTGAAAGCTTAAACTGAGTAATCAGGATTATGTCTGTGAGTTGCAGCCTGGTAAAAGAGACCTGTCTTTTGTAGTTGGTACTGTGGGTAGTGATGGATGGTTTGCTGCTGCCAGCAGCACCACAGGGCGAGGCATGACAGGAATGTGCAGGGTCAACTAAACTTCTACAGAACAACAAGACGTTTCTAAAATAAAATCTGACATCAGAAGATAATCTCACCGGTAACCCTTGCCGCTGTTGATCCAACTCATCTCTAAATCTCAGGAAAATCTCTTTCTGCCTTTATGCTGCCAAAAACATTTTTATGACTTAAGGCGTTTGTTCTTCCTATGACAAAGAGATGCAAGTCAGCTCCCTGGAGGGAGACTTCACCAACTCCTCTGGTTATTTATGTGTTTACATCCTATTTGGCACATTGGCACTCGTAACAAGAGTGTGTTTGAGTATTTTGAGACACCACAGTGGCGTCTGTGTCTCAGAAGTGCACGGACTTAGTGTACCTCCTGTGGTGCTATTGTGTGATTGATCTACAAAAGACCTGAAAAAAGCCCTGTTCCCCTACTTGTTATTGGGAATTGAACTTACTCGGAACATATTTGTTGGCATGGAGTCACGCCTTTAATGTTTGCTTTAGAACCAGATGCAGTGTCCATGATACTACGCCTCCAACCCAGTGTAACCAAACCTGTACAGTGCCAACATGTTGTGTCCGGTACTACCTGTTTTTCTAGACTATAAAAGAGTGAACATACTTTCCATGGGTGGGATTGGGTTTCCATATAGATCCAGCTTTCCAAGCTCAAGTTTTAACCTGAGGGCTGATTTGCCAACAGCTGGGTGTGCTGTGTTTTGAAATCTGTGTGTGTTTGCTATTGCATATGGTTTTTCAGAAAGAACACATTCCATTTGCCTCCAGATATTCCACATACAATACAAATCTATTAGACTTAGATACAGTAGCTCAGATACAATGATAAATTAGTTGTAATTGTTTTGTATTGATAAAGGTTACACAGATTAAAACATAGGGAGTGGGAGAAAGTCATTATTTTAATACGTCAGTGCTATAAATATCTATCTTTGTGTTCAATATAACAGGAAAGTCAGGGCTTTGGCCAGGATCTTAGAAATACTAAGGTCATGACAACACAAAGAAAGTCTCTAAAATGTTACAATATTTGGATCTGGCTAGGTGTTAAGTCATATTTTGTGCAATTTTTACTTAAATGAAGCAGTTCTTACACAGACATACCTCAGGAAATCAACCACTGATGATAACCTAAACTAAAATACATCCATACAATTAGTACCAAATTACAAAGTCCATACAAGGAAATTATTTATATTATATCATATTAGGAAGTTAATTATGGACCTACAAAATTAAGAGTTACTACTTTATTATCAATTTCTAAATGCTCTGTGCTGCCAGGAATTAAATCATGTTGGACAATTTAGCCATATTTTATTTCTAAAGTCTACAAACACTAGAATCAGCATTAAAAATGTTTCGGTTTTTAAATGTAGGATGTAAACACCCATGTTCAGGTTGATGAAACTCTAAAGATCTGAGAGGACGTGACCACAGTGTATTCAATGGTAGGAAGGGCTCTGATGAGAATAAAGGAGTTAAAGGATGACCTTACCATGAGGTTTACTTTTCAAAAATAGAGTATATGACTACATTTATAGTGTCATCATTGTTTTCGAGAAAGCAACATCACTGTATCACACTGACTCTGTGTCACCCGAGTGCACTTTTAACCCTTGACCATTTATTCCCACACAACCAAAATATGACCTTTTTCTCTTTTCCAGTTTATTGGTCAGTTTTCTGCCCTGTTGTTCAGGTCACCTGAACTTTGAACCTTTTAATGATCCCACTCAGACAAAAAACAATGGAAACCTTATTGTTATATCACTTATTTAAAATCACATTTCTTTGTGCCCTAATGACACATTTAATTATGATTAAACAGTTGTTGGTTTCCATTTATAGTAATAGTAAAAGTCATCTACATAATTTATTTTCTCCATCGAAGTTAAATTATTACATATATAAGGTGACATTTTTGTAGAACTTTAGATCTCCACATTGAGGTGGTATTAATGAATTCTCTGGTGGGTCCTCTTGTTGTGGTAATCTACAAACCACTGCTGACTTGTATTTAAACACAAGAAAACTTTAGTATAAGAAAAATGAGAATGTTCCTATATACTTCAATGTGGGCACACCTTTTGGATTCTTCTGCTCCGGTAAACTGTAGTGCAACCTGGGAATTTTTTAGGCCTGTTAACACACTTCAACAGAGTCCTACACTATCTTAACAATAAGATTGTATATCTCAGAGTGTGTCCTTAAGACCATCAAAGTCCCATCGGATGAGACGGAGTGTGAACAGATGTGAATAGCAGGATTCTGACTCATATCGTAGCCTCAGACGTGGATGTATGTAAACACCTCTCATAGCTGTCTGCTGTCTGATCTGTGGATCAGTCTGTCTGCGTGTGGTCAACTGTGTGATCTTAACACATAATTATGGCTCATATTATGGCGCAATACCTGGGACACATGGTGGCATACTCTAGTAAGGTGTTTGTATGTGTTCATGTGGGACATCCTCATTCCACATGATAAATCAGCCATTAAAAAAACAACACCCTCTGACACGATCTCACTACATTCTTGGTTAGTAGCCTAATCTATTGCAGGTAAGAATAACCTTGGAACATT